ACTTTTAAGCATCACCATATGGCCCATTCACAGATTTAATGTGTAATTTGAAAGAAAATGTGATGGACTTGAGAGGACTGCGGCACCAGCGGAGCTCCGAAGCTGACGGCAGCCAGGTCTAACCGCAGCCCGTCTGCAGCGGCCCTCTCTCGGCATAGCCGTGTGTGAAGGACCGCTGGCTATAAATAAAGGCAAATAAATAAAGAAGCTAATTAAGAGTTATATACATTTATGTCTCACTTTATAATTTAATTTACTACTTACATTCTACTACTTACATTTATGTGTTTATTGTATTTTTGTTGGAAATTAATTCTATGCTTATATATTTATTGAGCATTTATTTATTTTTAAATATGGCAGATTTGGTTCTCCATACAAGTCCGGCAAACAGATCAGAATGGGGACAGGCAAGTTCAGAGGTCCAGAGGCAGAACGGGTCAGGATCAGGCAATCAGGTACGCTAGAGAACTCTCATCAATGGCTTGAATAATCTGGCACTGATGACTGGTTGAAGGCTGGTTAATTAGAGGCTGAAGCAGGTGGATCAGATGAACAGTAATTAGAACTGAGCAGAGCTAGACAGGTGAAAGAAATTACTAATCAGGCCAGTCATCAGCACCAAGATCATGACAACAAACAGACTAAACCCAAATGATCAAAGTTTCCAATTCGAGTTATTAAATAGAACATATTTAATAACAGGAGCAGGACAATGACCCAAAGCAGACAAGGACATCATTTCTGTCTTACTTCACCAAAACATAAAGCATCGTGTTTTTAATGAATTTTTCATGCTACACCTCGTGGACCTAATTTGCTTCTCAAATCAGATCTTCTAGATATACAGTCACTGCTGTTTGCATGTTAGTTGTGTGGCTTGATTTCTAAACTCTTTGCATAGCATCAATCTTCTGCGTGGTTTGCATCTGTGATGCCATCCCCATCATTCAGGGTTGACAGCAGAGCAGCATGCAAATAGAACCTTGCCTTCTGGGTTCTGCATAGTTGGCTCACATTAAACAAACAACTCAGCCTATAAACCATGTTTCTCCATGGTTTATAGATCAGTGGGACAAACCTAAAACAGCTTCCTCAAACAAACCTATGTCCAGAATAATATTTTATAGTCTTTTCCTTAACCTATAAATTGGATTATGTAACAATAACAAGGAAGCAAGGACTTAAAACTGTCAAGGTTGGTGGATGTTGTTGAGGACCCAAATGCAAAGTAGGAGGAGGCTGAGATGAGTTCTTGCAGATTTAATTTAGAAACAAACGGCAAAAGAAGAATAAATACAAAAACAATAAATAGGACAAAAAAAATTTACCAGGAGACACACATTAGGAGTAAAATAATGAAGAGAAACCAGCACTGGAGTATATATAGAATAGAATAGAATAGAATAGAATAGAATAGAATAGAAAATCCCTTTCTTGTCCCACAATGGGGGAATTCTGGTGTTTACAGCAGCAAAATGATTATAGAAAAAATGGTCACACAAATATGGACCTTCAAAAAATGTATAGGAATAAATTATTTTATCTCACATTGAATACTGCATCACAATTTGGTCTCTCACCACAGTTACCAATTTAAAATTAATTGAATCACTGTACAAAAAATCTCTTAAAGTGTTTGACCAAAAACCCAATTCTTTCCATGTATGTAATATTTTGATTAAGTACAATCTTTTAAATGTTGAAAATGTTATACATTTTAAGTATGTATGCTTCATTTATAAAGCGCTGCATGGACTAGCCCCGCCTCCTGTGTCTACTCTGTTCAAACCCAAGACTTTAGGCGGCCTGAGAAGCAGGGCCTCCTCCAGAGGAGACTGTGAGGTTCCTCACAGAACAACAACTTTTGGTCAGAACATTCTGTCTGTGAGAGCGAAAAACATCTGGAACAGTCTTCCTCTGCACATACGGGAGAGCCCTACACTGATCAGCTTTAGAGCTCAACTCAAACTACAGATGAAAACAAACCAGTCATGTGACCACTAAACTCTTAACAGTTCCTTGTGATGCTTGTATTGTATATTATATGTTTATTCTTATGTATTTGCCTGCCTAGGGACTACGGATGAAAACTAGCTTTGTAGCTATAATCCGGCATATTTAAATTTTTCTTTATACTGATGTTCATTAATGTGCATTGTCCCTATTCAAATAAATAAATAAATAAAATACTAGTGAAGACTTAAAAGATAAACAATAACATACTGTTTTGTAAAGTGTTTTAAATATATAAACTGTGCACCTGGAGAATAAATAACCGATATCCAGCTATGGATATTTTTACAGTAATGGATATTTAAAAATAGCAGCAACATCAGAGACGTGTAAAATGACAGCGGCGTGTTTTTTTAACCGACTAAGTTAGAAACTGCAAAATCAGCATGAATGGAAGAACTGATTGAGGTTGATGGGAACAGTGGTGGTTCTAGAGTCTTCCAGCTGCTGTGAGGAAGGATCTGTGATAACGCTCCCTGGTGCATTTAAGGTGCAGCAGTCTGTCACTGAAGGAGCTGTCCAGTTCAGCACCAGCTCCATGCATGGGGGGGAGACATTATCCGACAGAGATGTTCATTTAGTTAGAATCTGTTTCCCACCTCCTGCACTCCAGAGTCCAGAGGGCATCCAATCACAGCTGGCCTTCCTGATCAGCTGATCCAGCCGCTTCCTCTCAGCTACAGATGAGCCGCTGCTCCAACAGACGGCTCCATAGAAGATGGCTGATGCTACAACAGAGTCATAGTAATACAGTTTTTCACTGAAAGTTAATAGTTGAGGTCAAAGAAATTAGGTGTATGGATACATTTTGCACGCCACGTATCACTTTAATTGGATTTTCACTTTTTTTGGATTTAGTTTTTACATATGCATAGAAATACGTACAGATATATATACAGAAGAGCTATATGTGTATATATTTTATCTCTTTTTAATTCTTATTATATTGTATAGTTGGATTAGTGTGTGTATATATTATATAAAACTGTAACTGGAGCGTGTAACAAAAGTAATTTCCCTCTGGGATTATTAAAGTATTTCTGATTCTGATTCTGATATCAAGCCTTTATTGAATGATTTAAAAGATAGTGTAGGTGTCATGAGTGAGAATCTTATAATCATGAGTTTAGTTCTTGTTACACAAGAGTTAAAATAACTGCTAATCTTTATATTTTTTTGTCGTTCTGTTAGTGTTGCACCAGCATTAGTTACAAAATAGCTAAGAAAAAAATACAATCCCTTGTAAGTTTCTTTGGCCAGTAAAAGATGGAATGGAGGGAAGGGTTGGAATTATACATATCACTGTTAGTTTTTAATAATTAAAATGAAGAAGCATAACTTATTTGTCATAGGTTTTATTTATTATGATCTTTATCTAATAATCTAATCTTTAAAATTACATGCAAGCGAGGAAGCAGTATAAGGCAATTATTTTTTAATGTAGAACCAACCCGAGGGTACTCCGGGAGTATGGAGTACCGGGCCCTTTAATAGGGGCTGTTAGGTCTCTGTGTGACCGGTGTCAGAGTCTGGTTCGCATTGCCGGCAGTAAGTCGGACTCGTTTCCGGTGAGGGCTGGACTCCGTAAAGGTTGCACTTTGTCACCGATTCTGTTCATAACTTTTATGGACAGAATTTCTAGGCGCAGCCAAGGTGTTGAGGGGATCTGTTTTAGTGACCTTAGGATTGCATCTCTGTTATTAGGAGATGATGTGGTTCTATTGGCTTCATCAGGACGTGAATCTACAGCTCTCACTGGAGCAGTTCGCAGCCGAGTGTGAAGTGGCCGGGATGAGGATCAGTGCCTCCAAATCCGAGACCATGGTCTTGACCCGGAAAAAAGTAGAGTGCCTCTCCGGGTAGGGGAGGATGTACTGCCCCTAGTGGAGGAGTTTAGGTATCTTGGGGTCTTGTTCACGAATGAGGGGAAGATGTAGCGGGAGATCGATAGGCGGATTGGTGCTGCGTCTGCTGTGAAGTTGTATGTTGTTGTGAAGAGAGAGCTGAGCCAAAAAGCAAAGCTCTCGATTTACCGGTCGATCTACGTTTCTACCCTCATCTATGGTCATGAGCTTTGGATACAAGCGGCTGAAATGAGTTTTCTCCGTAGCGTGTCTGGGCTCTCCCTTAGAGATAGGGTGAGGAGCTCAGTCATCCGGGGGGGACTCAGAGTAGAGCCGCTGCTCCTCCACATCGAGAGGAGCCAGTTGAGATGGCCCAAGCATCTGGTTAGGATGCCTCCTGGACGCCTCCCTGGTGAGGTGATCCAGGCTCGTCCCCCAGGGAGGAGGTCAAGGGGGAGACTGGAGGGACTATGTTTCTCGGCTGGCCTGGGAGCGCCTTGGGATTCCCCTGGAGGAGCTGGACCAAGTGGCTGGAGAGAGGGACGTCTGGGCCTCCCTACTGAAACTGCTACCCCCGTGACCCGACCCCGGAAAAGCAGAAGATGGATGGATGGATGGATGGAACCATCAAAACTATTATCCTTTAAATTAAAAGACTATATAGATGTATAAGTAAAAATCGGACCTAAAGGACTGTTTTATGCAGGGTCCAAAAGGGGCAAATACCCCCCAAACCCTAACCCCCTGTAGATGACGTATTGCATGTCGTGATCAAGTGCTAATGAAAAAAAAAAAAACTGAACACAATTCAAACAATAAGATTAACGACAAACAATCATCTGATCCACTAATGATTTTATTTAGATAATAACAGATAATAAACAGCACACATTAAAACAGATTAGTAGTGTAAAGTAAGCTAGGAACCTAATTTTAAATAGGTTTCTTCTCTTCAAAAGAATATACTTTTATCAGTGTTTGATACATTTTCTATCCCATAATCAGACCTATTATAATCACCACAGTGTAAGAACAACACTCATTAATTAGGTTACAGGGAGCCCACACAGTCAAACTATTAGATTAAAACCACCTCATTGATTATTTAAGGAGGCATTGGTCTACTGAGGTTGTATAATAAGCAAATTGATAGATATGAAGAAAAATTGATCTAATGATAAAATATGACTAAAGAATATGACATTATATATTGTGGATGTATCCAATCAGAGACTTGATCCTTGGTCAAACTCAGGCACAGATGAAGCTGAGTTTCTCCCCACAGTCCCTTATCTCCCACTTCCCCTCTTTGGTCAAAGCGCCGCAGCGCCTCAGCCTCGGACACTGGTAGTCCTGATCCCCTTTTGTTGTTGAGGCCGTGTACAGCACAGGGTCTCCATTCACCCACATCCAGCTGTCTCCAAGGTAACGCATGCCGATCCACACCTGCTGAGTCAAGGCTGAATGATGGATCCTACTGTGAGCTATATGGTTCTCTACCTCAGAGAGCAGGCTGATGAGGTCGCCATCATTCTTTCTGCAGTGCTCCAGAGCATCCTCCCAGGTCTTCCTTTCCTGGACCACAATCATGTTCAGGCAGAAGAAACTCTCAGAATGAGTCCCATCCTTCCAGTGCCATCCATCATGTTTCCAGTAGACATTTTTAGCTTTATCCCATTCACCAGAGTTCACAAATCTGTGGTAGGTGACATTGCCACCTCTCCACCATTTCCATCTTCTCATGTTTGGATCCCAGTACATCCCGATCCATCCTTCCCTTGGTCCGTTTCTATTCACATATGCTTTGAACACCCGCTCTTCTTCTTCACTGGTGAGGGATACAATGTTGGCATAGTTTTGCTGGCAGTAATCCTTTGCATACCGCCAACTTCTTTGGGGACTGTCAACAAATACATATATTTCACCCCAACAACAGAAACTTGTGAGAATAAGAAAGCAGAAGATGATCTTCTCCATCCTGACAGCAACTTGGAACTGAAAGACCTCAGACTGGTTTCCTCCTCCTCTCTATAAAATGGGGAGAATACAGAACATTTTCATAAAAATACTATCCACAAGCGCATAACCAAAGCAGCCTTGAAGACAAATGTTTTCCCGGTGAACATTCAAAGTGTTTTTCTACATGCACTCGAAAGGAGAAGCAAAGCTTCCCATCATTAAAACATGAGAAGCTTTTTCTAAAGAAAACACTTCAGCTTTGGAGGCGAATGCAAACCCTGTTGAAATGTTTGCATGTCTTCTTTCCTCACTCTCTAACCAAAAACATGAATGTTTTTACTGCCATTCCATGTGCTTGAGCACAAACCAAATAGAGCATGATGGCCAAGTAGAAGGAAACGAATGGATGGTTTTAAAAAAACATTAAAAAAATTTATCATAAAAAGAAATCAGGGAATTTGTCAGTCCTTCCTGAGGCAAAATTTTATTCTGTTGTGACATGCACATATAATTTAGGCTTTGCCTTGTTAAGATTATGTTAATTCACTTCAAATCAGTTTATTTATACAGCCCCAATTCACAACACATTTCATCTCAAGGCACTTTACATGGAAAAAACTTATGCAACCCCTTTTGGTTTTTTCTTAAAGGAAAATTCCGGTTTTTAACACTTTTAGCCC